ATGCACAGCAGGCAGCCCACTGAGCTTCAGGTGTACCTTCAGTTGTAGAGTGCAGAGTGCAAGAACTGAGGGAAGGATTTTGACCACTGGGATAATAGACATTGCCCCTGCTCAGGCTGTCAAGAGCAGAGCAGTACACTTTTGAAGCAAGCCACCAATGGAGATTCAGTGTCCCATTCAGAAGAGGACAAGAAGATGATTTGAATATGTCTTCCTTAAACCAATGTCTAAATATTATAATTTGAACCTTTAAGCATTTTCTACAATACTCACTGAACATTTTACACTCTTTTTAAGTTTTTAAAATAATTTTATAATTTTTTATTATTTTTAAATGTGTGTGTGTGTGTGTGTGTGTGTGTGTGTGTGTCTGAGTGGTATACAGTGTAAGTGCAGGTGTCCATGGAGGCCAGAAGAAGACATTGAATCCCTTGGATGTGGAGTTGCAGGTAGCCATGAGTTACCTGATACGGATGCTGGGAACCAAACTTTGGTCCCCTTCAAAGGCAGTGTATGCTCTTAACCACTGAGCCCTATCTTCCACACTGGTGGCTTCATAACTATAAAATCTTTGAAATCTGCTACATTTTTTTATGGCGACAGTATGTGGCAGTTGGAAGCACATTCGAGTGCAAGACTTATGGCTACTGAATTAGGCAATGCAAGCCTACAAGACTTGTCCAAAATGATGCAAACCTACAAGACTCTTCTCCTTAGTGCAATGTTGGTTTCTAACAGAAAGATGCATTGAAAAGTCTTGGATTCAGAGGAGACAAATCTCCCCAGGTGCTCTCAAACATCTGGAGAGCAGCACCTATTAGGGGACCTTTTATAAGCTGACAAATTGGCCATAAAGTCTGAACACAGCACAAAAGTGTCAGCAGAGGCCAGTCTTGTGTGGCCAGCACAGCCCTGTAATGGGTTTTGCCCAGAGTCTTCGAGGGAGAAGCTGGCACTCACTTCTCCCACTTGGTTCTCCCTTCTGAGGGACAGCCAGAGGCAGACTTCTCAGATGCACCCACCTGTGTTCTGTGAAAAGCTGGTGCAAACATTCCCTCAAGAAGCTCAGCATGTGGATGAAATAGCACCATACGTGCAAAATGCTACACCCTGTGCCTGATAAAGAATTGATCAAAAGTGGTAGTCTCCTTCCTTCTAAGCCTCTGCCAGTGGGGCTCCTGCACAGCTCCAGGAACAGCCTTAAAGGATCGTGGAGAGTCTAACAGCATGACTGGGGTGGGGGTAATTAAATGACCTCTTGAGATTGCTCCTGGTCCTTTATCAGTTTTTCCATAGACAGGACTTCAAGGCAATGTTTCATTTCAGAGAGAAATTTCCAAAAAGTATGCAGATTAAAGGCAACCCTACAGGGGACTTCTCCTCACCCCTCCAGCCTCATGATCCACTTTAACTTGTAAGAAAACAGCTCTTTACATCTTCCTGGACTCCTACTTAGTACAGTAGCAGCTTAAAGTATGCCTAACTATGTCCTATCATCCTGGCTGCTCTAGATGCTGAGACAGGAGGATTACAATTTGCTGTCTTTCTGAACTTCAGAGTGACTTCCAGACCACCCTGGGAAACTTAGTGAAGCCCTGTCTCAAAATAAAAAATAAAACGGAGGTTGAGGGTGTGGCTCAGTGGTAGAACAGTTGGCTAGGATCTGCCAGTGTCTTACTTAGGGTTTCTATTTCTGTGAAGAGACATCATGACCACAGAAACTCTCATAAAGGAAAACATTTAATTGGGATGGCTCACTTACAGTTTCAGAGGCTCAGTCCATGGTGGAGAGCATGGCAGCATGCAGGCAGATGTGGTGCTGGAGGAGTGGCTGAGAGTTCTACATCTTGCAGGCAACAGGAAGTCAACTGAGACACTTGGAAGTATACTGAGCACAGGGAACCTTGAAGCCTACCCCTACAGTGACACACTTCCTCCTACAAGGCCATACCCACTCCACCAAATCCACACCTGCTAATAGTGCCACTATTAGAGATTATGGGGCCCAAATACATTCAAACTACCATAGCAAATTAGGGGCTGGAGGTGTGGCTCAGCAGCAGAGTGCCTGTTTGGAAACCATCAGGGAAATTCTGGCAACGTGGCTCAGCAGTAGAGTGCTAGGTCAGAATCCACCAATGAGGAGTTAGGGGGCCATAGCTCAGTAGTAGAGCACTTGCCTAGAATCTGACAATGAGGGACTAGGGGCAGTGGTCAAGTGCTTGGCCAGATTCCACCATCAAGAGGCTAAGGGTGTGGCACAATAGTAGAGAACTTGCCTGGTATACAGAAGGTATCCAGGGTTTCTACTACCCAAAAGGAGCATCGTGAGGGAATTCGTTACCATCTTCTACTTTTGAGGATCAAGTGAAACATCCCGCTTTAAGTAAAATTGAGGGGAAATCCTGGGTTTGAAGTCTATCCAACTTGATTCTGAATCACACTTCTTAGCCATGTAATCTTTGAGTGAATTGTTTATGTTCTTTAGCCTTGAGGTACTCATCCTTAAAATGGGCACTGTATGTACCTCATTTACCACACCACCTCCACCCCCCCCCAAAAAACAGTGAACTTTAAAGCACTGGTGATTTTACAGGCTTGGGATAGGTATCTGGAGCTGGGTATGGTTTAGCTGGGTCCTTTTGCCTGTACAAGGCTACAGTCAAGATGTCAGCCAGGATATGATTTCATTTCAAGGCTTGACTGAAGAAGATTCTACTTCTGAGTTCTTTAGGGGTTGTTGGCAATATTTAAACACTCAGAGGAGCTGGGTGTCTCAGTTCCTTACTGATTGTTGGATGGAGCGTGTCTTAGATCTCTGTCATGTAAGGACTCTATAGGACAGCCCCAAACAATGTAGCATGTCTTACTAGAGGCATTGCAGCATAGCTGTGGTCTTCTGTAACTTAATCTTAGAAAGGGGAGTGCATCCCATCTGCTGTACTCTACAAGGAAGCAGGTCCCTAGCTCCAGCCTACACTCAAGGGGAAGCAATCACAAAAGGACGTTAACTCACAGGAGGGGCAGAGAGCTATGCGAGAGCTTTTCAGCTAGCACAGTAGGCCTTCCTTATCTACAGATTCTGCATCAGAAGTTTCAACAAACCTTGCAGCGGAAATACAGGGGAGGGGATTGCATGAACATGCATGCTTTGATTTTCTGTCATGATTCTCTGTGTGGTAGAACAGCATGGTATCATATTGTATTTGGTGTTTCAAGTGACGTAGAGAGGACTTAAAGTCTATGGGAAATGGATGTAGGTTCTATGCAGATACATACCACACTGCTTTATAAAAGGGCACGCACACATGTTGGAATCCATGAAAAACTTTGGAATCAGCCCTCGACAGACACCGAGGGGCAACGGTGGTACCTGTTGTTATGACCAAGAGTGAAAATACTTCAGAAGTCACCATGTAAATGGAAGGAATCAACTGGTTTATTTATTGGGGTAAAAAAAAAATTATGTGACAAAACATAATGAGATGGTTTCCCACCACGAAGTGACCAGAAACACTGCATTTGAAAGATGCATTAAATTTATATTAAATGTTGATTTGCCAGCATGTTACCACATAACATTATTTGGATGGTAGAGTTAAAAGGCCCTCCTCTCCTCCACTTAATTTTCAAGGTACACCTGCAAGCCCTCCTAGTTGTTTTAGAATATCTACATTTTTATATAGAGATGTAAATAAAAGTACGCCTGTCGGTTTTCTCATTTAGCAAGATTACAAAAGCATTTGATCCTGCTGTGTCTTCTTGATAATTAGTGGTGTATATCTTTCTTTTCCTTAACAGCTATGCAACATTTCCATTTGGTAGATGGTTGTAGAAGCCGTTGTTTATTTACCCATCCCTTTACTGTGACACAGAAGCTGTTTCAGGGTTTCGCCACTAAAAGCAATGCAGTCATTATCTTTTATGTTTTTCTCCCATAAATTGAATTGTGTCTCTAAAGTCTCAGAAAAGCAATTTGAACACAAACATTTTAATGGTTCTGTGTGTTTGGATCCAAATGAATAGAAGCCTTTGATTTTCAAATAAGCAAACAGTTCTCCATCAGCCACAGGCTGAGTTCCTCACAAGCAGTTAACTATGTCTGACGTTTTCTTTTTTAATGTCATAGCATCTAGCCTTGAAGCAACATTTACTGAGTATTTGTGGGCCGAAGGAACAAAAATATTTTAAATTGTGAGACTTTATGAAAAACATTTAGACTCAATCTATTATAAATTTTTATAAATTGACTTTTGCGAAGCAAGAGAAATTGCATCCCCATTTAGATTTCACTAAGATGTGGAGAGCACACCTGGCTCGGTGTCGTCTCCATTAATCCCCACAGCGCCCCCTGCAGTTCACTTTCTACACAGCAGCAGAAGGAAAGGCTCAGAACAAACAGGATTGTGTATTATTATTACAACCTTCTTTTCACAGGGGGCCCCCAGGAAGTTCGTAAGTCTGACGAGCGCCTAGACATGGAAAAGGAAACTATAGTCCTTTTTTTTTTCTAGGGAGTGCTCTCTTCTGAAGAGAGTTCCTGCTAGGTAGAAGCAGTTTCTTCCAACACTAGAAATCATGGGAATTCCGCAAAGATAATTCAGTCCTGGTAATTGGTTTACTTAATGAAATTAAGAATCAGAGTTATGTAAACTTAAGTAGGAGGGTCTCAAATGACTCTCACAAATGCTTAACATTTAGTCCCACCACTCTTGACTTTAAATATATGTATGTATGTTGTGGACAGCAGTGGCTCAGTGTCTTCCTCATTAATTCCCACAGCGCCCCCTGCAGTCATTTTTCAGACCCACAAGACTTACTAGAGATGGTCAGAGTGTATGACAAATGGATATGTTTGCAACACGGAAAGTTGCTGTCTGAACCACTATTTGAGCTGCAGCGCCCTCTGGTGGAAGGCTGGCGGGATGACTTTTCCAGGCCCATTCTCCAGGAGCCACATCTCACTAATCAGCTCTTGTCTGTCTGACTTTGTGTCTCAGGTAAAGGAGGCCATGCAGCGCATCCACGACCGGGGGAACATCGGGAAGTTAATTCTGGATGTGGAAAAGACTCCGACTCCGCTGGTAAGTGGAATGCAGAGGAAACTACGGGTTCAACACCAAAGGCAAATTGATGGATCATCAGGTGTAGGTACAAATGATGAAGAAGAAATGCAGGCAGTTTACAGGCTCTCAAAAACTAGGGGTGATCAGATGATTCCAGAATGAGGGATAGTCACGGGCTAAGCTGAAAGTGGAGAAGACAGGAAAATTGCTGAGTGAGGACGGGCTGGAATGGATAGAAAAGGACCATTTACAGTTGTTATCTCTAGGTTGCTACCAGTGGGAAGACTTCCTAGTTAATTCTATGAAATGTATTGCATGTGCCAAAGAGAATGGTGCCAACTACCTCTGGATGCTCCTGGTGCTCCTGTTCAACTCACTTCCATTTTTGGGGAAAAAACCCTGATATCCAGGCAATCCAGGAGAACACAGCACTTCAGATTCACCTGTTCCCAAACTGGCTGCTTTGGGGGAGGGGTGGCATACGTTGTAGCTGTCAATGCAGAGACTCTCTGACTGCATGCATTCAAAGCCCGGGGCCTTGTCCATTTGCAACCTAGGAAGGTTGCTTTGTACCCCAGCTTCAGTCCTGTTTATGAGCTAGAGATTGGCAGGTTCTTCTAGGTCAGTTAGAAAGTCATTCATTCACTGAGCATGGCTGGCCATCCTAAGTTCTAGGTAAGCTAAACAAAGAAAACATGGAGGTTTGTTGTTGTTTTAAGTTTCTTTACTAACACAGTAGTCTTGCATCGGTATCTGTCTTTTTCAAGAAAAAAAAAAAAAAACTAAAATGATCCATAGCTCTCAGTCCAAGTGTGTATTTTCAGAAATAGCTCCTGGTCTTCTGTAGCCATAATATGGCTCAAGTGTAATCGTCATTTCACTCCATACAGAATAGTTAAAGGAGAAGGCACTTGGTGACACAAGCCACTGATAATAATATAGATATAAGTTTTTAAAATACTCTTGAAGTCACAGGACTGTATAGTGGGAAATTACCAATATGGAGTCAGGTAGAAATATAAGGGTATTTAATAGGGAAAAGGCTTATTACAGAGTGACCTCGCCAGCCGGCGTGGCAGCAGTCTGTGCAGCAAGTACCAAAGTAAAACCGAAAGAGCAAACACAGTCACACTATGTCACTCTGACCACACCCTCACAAGCATGGTCAGGCACACCTGTAGCCAGCCCCTAAGTAGGCGTGGCTACAGCTTTCCCTACAGGACTGTTTGAGGGAAAATGATGGCATGAGGTTAGGGAGAGGGAGTAGGATCTCAAAACTGCCATGCAAATACACTATGGCCTACGTAAATAGGTCCAATGCACAGAAGGCTCCAGATCTGCCCTGGCTTTCCATGCCAAGGCACTGCTTATCTCCATGAACCCATGAGATTCTCATGGCCCTTGGGCTGGGGTTATATCTGCTTGACCAAGGGGCAGAGCCCATCATATTAAGGCCAAATAGTCCCCCAATTCAGGCCAACAGGACTTACCCCTGTTGAATTATTGCTCTTGTTTTCTGGAAATATTTTTACCCTGACACCCAAAGGAACAAAGAGACAGTAAAGAATGGGTACTTGGAGCTTTGGTGGTAGGGAAGATGTCACAGACCTTCTAGATGGAAGATAGCATGAAGTCAAACCGAATCTAGGGCGTGAGATTCAGGATGGGTGCAATGAGATCACCTCCAGAGCTAACAAGTGATATTAAAGGAAGCAGCAGGGCCTTGAGTGTTAGTAAAGGGTACAGAAGGGATTCTCCGAGGCACTTTCTCCTATGGGAATGACCACTCTGAAAGAGGTCCACCCCACAATGCTTTGTCTGATGCTCAGAGATGGTGAGGGAGTGGGTACATAACCTCCATCATGACCCCTGTTGAATTGCAGATGGCCAATGACAGCACTGAGACAAGCGAGGCAGGGGAGGAAGAAGAGGACCATGAAGGTGACAGCGAGAACAAGGAAAGGATGCCCTTCATCCAGTAAGACCTCATATCCGAGAAAGTATAGAGGACGGCTGTCAAGAAAATGGCCGCTATGAGACCTCTCCTGTGCCCCAGTGAACAAATGCTGTAGTCCAGTGTGTATCGTGTTTGTCTGCAGTCAGCCAAGCTAAGAAGTTGTTGATCACTGTTGTGTTTGGAATTAAGTGCCAATCCCATTCCATGCAGTATTGTGTCCCTTCTTGGTCTGAGTATCACACTCTCCCCTCTCCCTCGTATCAAACCCATCCTTCTTCGGGTCCTTCTTGACAGTTCTAGAATAGCCATGCAAATTAATACAAGACCACAGGGCCCAATGTCTGAAACCAGACATGGGCAAGGCCAAGTTTGATCGAAAGGTGTTGTCACAGAGCCCTGTCCAGATCCCATTATTCTTCAGGCCAATGACACTCTTTGCCTGCCAGAAATCAGCTATGCCTCCAACTATGGCACTTGTCAGTTTGGCTAGTGGCAAGAGAGTAGGCCAGGAGAAGTATTCACGATCTTATAAATGCAGACTTCCCCAAGCAGTACTTTGTCACTCTCCCTCTAAGAGGCCATGTCTCTGCATTTGCCTCTGAACCTTAAGGCTTGAATCTCTCTTTAACTCTGATTCCTGGTTCTTATTCACAAACCCAGGGAGGCAGGTGTGTGTTCTTTCTAGGATAGAGATGGGTGAACAGCATCTATCTGAGGACCAGCTACAGAGACCTCTCCTCTGAAACCACATCTCATGAGCAAAGTCCCCCCTATGGCCACACACAGGAGTTTAATTAAATCCTAAGGATACTCACCACATGTAGACCTAACTCAGATGTCATTAAACTCACCTAGGTTCTCACCCTCAGTCTTCAGAATCACCATGGTTATTTCTAAGTTCCTGCCTAAGAAACACCTTTCCTAAGGAAGAGCTCCCTTGAAGACCACATTTGGGGTTGGAAAATCAATTGGTTTCTTTTTGCCTTCTTGAAGAATGTTCTTCTGTGCAACCAGCACAAGGGATACATATGGTGGCTACTCAGCATCTGATGCCGAGTGTATGTCCCCCTCTCCAATACACAAAATCCTGGTGCTGACTTGCAGGCTCCTTAGAAATCAGGGACCAAACTGCTTGATCACATACCCTATTCAATTTTCCAGATTGAAAGACATATCCTTGTCCTTTTTAATGGACTTTGAAGTGACAACAGTTACCTTAAAGGAAAAGGAGTCTCCCTCCACAGTGGGGCTCCTTATTGCCTCTTTCCAGCCCTTCTGTCCTAAGAGTTCATATGTCACTCACAAACCAAGGTAGATATAAAAGTCACCCATGCAATTGGCACCCTGAATTTATTTTGCCTTCTGGGATTCCCTCATGCCCTTGAGTTGGTGTTCCAAGTTTCTTTACAATCTTGAAGATGTTAAGAGGGTTCCTGTCTTGCCCACCTTCTTCAATGATAAGCTTCAGGGTGAACCCCAGGCTTTTCCCATGGGCTGGGAACAAACCCATTTCAACAATTCCTTGCTTGGTTTGCAAAGTCTCTGTAACTGGTCTCATACCATTCATCGTGTTCCTTTTTCTGGATTCTGAATCTGTGGTGATGATTTCTTCATGCCAAATATTTACCTGAATGGTAAGTATTTCCTCACTGTGACTGTACAAGTCAAATATGAAGATGAGAAAAGGTACCACCTGCCAATAAGCCAAGGGATGAGAATATCAAAGAGAGTGCCAACCACAGACTTTTGTTTTCTAGCCCTGGGGAGTGACTAGCACTCCAGAGAGATGGTGGCCCTTGCTAAATAGCATGTAGTCAGTCACATTTCTGCCATAATCATGCTCAAGGGTTGGTCGACCTGAGGACCACTCTCAAAGTGCTAGTGTATAGAAATAGCCTTCTGGTCATTGGCCATAGGAGGGTTCTCCTTCAGGGGACACAGAACCTGACCCACATTCAGAATCCAGATGGTCTTGTCATGTACAGCAGAGCGTATAGGAAGTCATCTCTCCCCAACTACTGATTACACATGGAAAACCTCTCCTCTACTGAGAACACAGAACGTGAAAACCTGAGTGTGACCAGCATGGCCCTGGAGAACAGGAGGGTGAGTGAGAGACAACTAGAATCAGTCTGTCATCCTGTGGACTCTTGTGCTAAGCACCTTCCTTCCCCTCTCTCTATAGTTTCCTGGAGGAAGCATAAAGAATGTCTGTTTGCCTTAAGGGAACCGCAAAGGCTTCCTGGAAGGTTGAGCTTTATTGGAATGAACCGAACATCATCTAATGTGTCTGTGGCTTCAGAGCTTTCGTTATATTGTTATATTGTGCCTACAGAGCAAATTATGTTTACATAAAAATATAAATAAAGTATTCAGCATAGCATAACCCCTTCTGGCATCTTTTACTCCACATAAATATTTGGTTGGGTGGCCTCACTATGAGAACATAAAGAGCAAGTAACTGGGAGGAAGAGGGGATCACTTAAGATAGGAAATACAAACTGAAGACCTGATAGAGGAAGAAGTTGAAATGAGATTATCATTTTGAAAAGACTTCTAGCCCAGACATGGTGGTACACACCTGTAATCCTAGCACCTGAGTGATAGAGGCAGAAGGGTCAGAAATTCAAGGTCATTCTCTGCTAAATAATGGGTTTGAGGCCAGCCTGAACTACAAAAGACCCCCATCTCAAAAAAAAAAAACTCACCAAAAACTCATTCTGATTACCTGGGCATAGTGATGTAAGTCTGCATTCTCAGCACTTAGTATGCAGAGAATGGAAAATGGTGATTTTGAGGCTAACCTTCGTTACATAGTGATCCCCTGTCTCAAAAATAATTTTAATTGCATGCAGATGATACCAATAATGATACCAAACATAGAAAGTAACAATAATGAAAATGGCAAGCATTTATGAGACACCTACTGAATGCAGCTGAAAGAACAAAGAATGCATATGCTAAATCACTGATTCTTCCAACAGTGCTAAGTAACATCTGGTATTGAACCCACTCACGGGCAGAAAGACCAAAGCACATGAAGCATTGATACCATCTAAGGTCACATGGCTAGTGAATGGCAGAGCCAGCACTCAGCAAGTTCCAGCCAGGCTTTCACTATGGAAACCTATGCTCTTAACCACTGATTACACATCTCACGCTTTAAATATTGGTGCTGTTAGAATTCAACATAGCCTGCAACTTTAGATCAGATGCCAAAGCCTTTATCAGGCCACGCCTCCCTGCAGTTTTTCTCTGGAACAGAAAATTTAGAAGCAGACTGTGCTGCGACTTGACAGCCCTCAGTTTATGGTTCCTAGCTCCTTTGTGCTATTTCTCAAGCAGGCTATACTCAACTAAATCAAGTGATGTGAAAATTCCCCATTAGCTCTAAAAGATTCTAAAAAGTCAAATCTTCCCTTTGTTCTGGGGGAATGATCCAAGACTCCTCAGAGGGATTTGGTCCTGAAGGCTGATCTCTGAAGAACCGCCTCTACAGTGTTCTCTCTCTCTCTCTCTCTCTCTCTCTCTCTCTCTCTCTCTCTCTCTCTCTGTGTGTGTGTGTGTGTGTGTATGTGTGTGTGAATAAAGCTCCTTTCCAAAGTTTTCCCTTCCCTTCCCTTTAAGGGCATCCTTCCCTTCCCTTTAAGGCCTCATCATGCCCAGATCAATCTCCAGATCATGTTTCTATCCAATGTGCTCCCTTCCACCATGAGGCCCCATGATGCCCTTGAGGTCCTCTCATGATAACAAACCTCACTGAAGAGAACTGAGTGTCAGCATCCTCTGCAGATCCCCACTTCCACATTTCCTTTACAGTGGCTATAACAGGATGCATGCCCAGTCACCATCCCTTGTTCATGAGAATTTCTTTAGGGATTCTGTTTCCCTTTGATTTCAAGGTTGTGCTTGTAAATTTGTTTTGCCTTATAGAGACTAATACTTGTATCCAGAAGCTCTTTGTCCCCCTCCTGGACTTTCATTGAAGTAGTCTGATTTTAAAGCTTGTATATCTCAACAATGTCCATTTTCACAATCTAAAATTCTCAAGGTTATCAAGCAAAACGCCTTTGCAAGGACAAGCTATCCCAGGAAAGAGAGTTCACGTCTGACAGCTGCTCAGTGCTTCATCATGCTTTCCATCGACATTGTCTCGAGCCCCCATCCATGGATCACATGGATAAATCTCAATTTACAAAGTAGAAAGAATGTTGAGACTATCGTGACATCTATGGTTGTCTGGTTTGGTTTCAATGAGGTAGGGTCTCTAGTAGCCATGCTAGCTTCAATCTCACTTTGCAGTGGAGGATAACTTGAACTTTTGATCCTACTATGTCCACCTCCTGATAGATGAGGTTGCAATAATGTGCCACCACACCCAGTTTGTGCGGTGCTGGGAAACAAACCCAGGGCCCTCTGCCTCCTAAACAAGGACACTCAGACTGAGCTACATCCTCAGCACTGCCAGTGAAAGTCTTACACAGTCTCAGTTCAGAGACTTCCTCATTTATCCTTTCTTATTTAATGCTTTTGTTCTGTATATAGATCTCATGGCTGCCCTCAAAGGGTGCTGTATGTGTCCAGCCATATCCTGACATAGTCCAGAAACAACACCTGGAATTGACACTTAAAGTGAGTAAGCTCTTAGTAAACATTAACTTCCTTTCTCTCTCCACACTGGCCAATGCTGCAAAGAATGGGTACCCGGGAAATACATAGAAGACTCTTTTTCCTTCTGTATTAATACAACAGAGAATTTATAGAAACCCATGTTTGTTTCCTAATTTGATTATAGAAGAAAAAATGGGTGCTTTGGCATTCTCTGTCATGAATAGATTGAGCCTACCTCTGACTACAAAGGTGGTAGGGTGCATGTCCTCTGAATATTTCAACAGGTATTCAAACTTCCAAACAAAGGAGCAACCCATGAAGGAATGACTAAAACAATTACAACACAGGTGTGTGCCCAACTCCATTGCAATGAGTAAGAGCAAAAGCCTTCGAATCTCTCCAACAGGCTTAATG